GGCGGGGAAATATCAGGACGCGAACGGTAAGAAGCAGAAAGTCATGGGAGACATGACAAGGTGAGCTACGTCCCGGGACTCGAACATCGAACACACGTCTCGGCGGCTACCAGGGACGCAGGAGACACGACGGGTCATGCGGTTCGAAACCAACGCGCTCCGCGCACGGTACGGTGTGCCCATTTTCGTGACTTTCTCCCCCGACGAAGGGCACAATCTCATCATGGTACGGTTGTCGCGCACGCGACGTCGTGACCCCGTCCACAATGCGGGGAGCGACGCAGCTGCGTCACGGGCAGCTGGTAGTCGAGAGTTGCCGCAGGTCGCTCCAGAGACTGACGATGTGCGCCTGGAACTACCGCTGCCCTCGATTTTGTCGCAAGTGCCTTCGCGGGCGGAGCGCAGGAAGATACTCGCTCGGGTCCAATGGCGAGCGTGGAAGGCTTCCGTGTGATTGTGGACGCGACGATGCGACATCTGTTCGGATTGCGCACGTGTCCGACCTGCCCAGGATGCAATCATAGTGAGCGAGTGTCGCCGTGCCAGGACTTGTACGGCAGCAGCGCCGCGCCGGAAGGTGGGGTGTTCGGCAGGGTGGACGCGCGCTATGTCTCCATCGAAGCGCAGAAGTCGACGGGCGCGCTCCATGCGCACTGTCAGGTGTTCGCGCAGTGTCTGCACCAGCACGCGCCGCTGGACAAAATCTTCGAACTCGTCCGTACAAATGCGAACGCATGGGTGCGGTCGTTTGTAAAAGAGTCGTTGGAGTACAAGCGCCGGGTGCGCCGTCAGGAGTACTCTGCGCGCGTCACCCCAGACGGTCTGAATAAGAATCTGGCAGGGGCAGAGGCCGCGTGGCCAGAATGCAAGACTGAGTGTGGGTTGGTGCGCCGTCCGACGTATCAGACTCGCAGGGCGGGGCAGGGAGTGACGGAGCAGGAAGTGGCGGAGGAGGCGTGCGCGTGGGAGAATTGGTACTTCGACGAGGATGTGCAGTACCTTCAGGAGCGGAAGCAGCACCACGTGCATCTGGAGAACCCGGAGACGGGGGAGAGGGTGCCCTTGCCAGCGTGTCGTCGGAAGGACAACCCGAAGCTCTGCAAGGCCGATTTCCCACGAACGACGCAACTCATCGACCATCCGGTTGTGATCTGCCCAGGGCTGGCGAAGCAGCTGGACATGCCGACAGCGGGCAGGCGGAACCGCGCCGGGAGTTTGCGCGGGCCCTTGAGCCACGAGAGTTTGAATGGGACACACCCATGCATGCTTGCCGCGCAGCGTTTCAATTCGGACGTGCAGCTGCCGTGCCAATCACAAGCGAGAGCTGCACGCGCGGCAAAGGGTGTGCGGAAAAAGCAGGACGACGCAGCCATCATCAAGGCGGTCCAGATGGCTCAAGACGCCCAGGCAGGGTATGCTTGCAGGCTGAAGACGCCCATGGCCTTCCACGAAGTCCGCGAGTGCTCCAAAGGGATCGAGGAGCTCCGGCGGCAGCTGCGCGGGGAGAACGCGAACCACGTCGGTAAGCGCATGACGACGCGCATCATGAGCGACGCCTACGGGAAAACCATCGTCCGCGGCCAGGTGGAGTGCGCGAATCTTCGAGCGTATTCCATGGATAACGATGTGACCTCGGCAGAGTCGATCAAGACCTGTGAGGCGACCTGTTTCTACGGACGCGAGTACGTCGAGACGGTCGAGAGGCTGTCCGACGGCACCACCGGAGGGCGCAAAGCGCAGTTCGCGGAGGTGGATATGCGAAACCCGAGGCGCCGGAAAGTCACCATCAGGGACGTGGCCATGTTGCACGGACTTCGCCCGAGGCGGGACGGCCTGCGGCACTTGTCGCCCTGCGAGTTCGCTACGTATTGGAGGCCCGTGCTCGCGGCGTTCCCTGCCAGTATCAGGGGCGCGAGAGCCGATCGGGACAGGCACCACGCGTTCCTGACAGCGAAAGGGGAGCAGAAAGTGAAGGGGCGGGGTCGGAATCAGGGGCAGGCCGGAGAGCTGGAGCCTGGGGTGGACTACATGGTGAAGGGCGACGCCGGGAAAGACTGGGTTGCTTTTCCAGACTCTGACGGATGCCGGCATCTGCGGCGCACGTGGGTTCTTGTCAGGAACGAGAGGCCTCTGGCGCCAACCTTTTTCGGTGCTCCTGCGCCTCGGAGCCGAAACGGGGAAGCCGAGCGATCTGCGCGATAGTCATGTCCTACTTCCACCCGTGGACGTTGCGACAGTCAGAGGCAGACAATCACGCGGCGTTTGCAGGGGCACTGCGGCGGGGCTCGAAAACGTGGGCGGGCGCCATGGTGTCGCGGTTGGATGGCGAAGCGCAGTCGGAGGAGGCCGCGCGGCACGCGGGCAATTTCCTCAGCGTGCATCGCGTGCGCCCGAGGGATGCGGAGCAGGAGGGCGCGCGGAGTGATGAGGACGTGAACGACGAAGAATTGGAGGTTGGATTCGGTCAGCTCGACGAGACTCTGAAGTCACGCGTCGGTGGGCGGAAGCGGGAAGACGGCGACGGTGGCAGCAGTAGTGGAGAAGAAGACGGTGGGCCCGAAGGTGGTCTGGGTGGATGTTCCCACTACGAGAACTCGAAAGCAGGCATGGCCGTGGCCCAGGAAGTGCGGGGCCCGCGCCCGAGTGAAAAGTCGCTCAGTGAGGTCCAGAGCGCGTGGCCGACAGCCGTCAGCTGTGATCTGGAAACCGCGCAGGCCGCAGCGAGGGCGTCGCGCAACAAGGAGAAATCAATGGCCGACAGAGTGGCGGAGGAGGCCGGTAGCGGGCGCGCGGAGGCGCAGGCAGGGGCGACATCAGGCCAGTTGGCAGAGTGGCTGAGGGAGTTGGAGTTCAGGACGGACAAAGACACAGGCCGGCGCGTGGTCAACGCGAAGCAGTTCGACATGGTGAAACTGGTAGCAGAGAGGGCGAGGCAAGATCTGGGCGGGGAGGCGCGAGGCGGCGCGGGCATGGCCGAGCCGCTGCGTTGGTGCATGCACGGAGGGCCTGTCACAGGGAAGTCACACGTGCTGCGGATTCTGCGGAAAGAGCTGTTCGAAGGCATCATGAAGTGGACTATTGGCGTCCATTTTCAAATCGCGGCCTTCCAGGCAGTCATGGCGCAGCTGCTCGGTGGAGACACCATACATCACGCCTGCGGTATTCCCGCTGTCAAACGTGGCGACGAGAAGGGAAGATGTGAAACTTCAGTGCGATACAGCGAAGCGAGTTCTGCAGTGGAGGTGGTTGTTCATCGACGAGATCAGCATGGTCAGCGCCCGGCTGCTCGCCGAAGTAGACCAGAAGCTTCGCAGCGTCATTCGGGACGTGGGCACCCAGAAGTGCGGGGAAGACGGAGTGCCGCGGCCCTTCGGCGGCTTGAACGTCGTGCTGAGCGGCGATTTTTGGCAGCTGGCGCCTCCGGACGGGGGGGTCCTTGCGGATGTGCCAACAGAGCGCGTCGCGGAGGCTCGGAGGTATACCTCGCTCCCGCCAGTGCTACACGGGCAAGCTCTCCTGTGGGGAAGTGGTGAGGCAGGGCGCGAGGGCGTGCAGGCAGTAACGGAGCTAGTGGAGTGCGAGCGCTGTGACGATGCCTGGCTAAAATCCGTGCAAGAGGAATTCCGCAAAGGAGACCTCGCGGAAGACGCGCATTCCTTTTTGCACGGCCGTGATACTCGTGTCCCAGGGAGTTGGCTCCATGGTCAGGTTGAATGTGGGAACCCGACATGTCAAGCCTTGGGGGGGGGGGCGGCGCAGAGGCCCCGCGGAAGGACGCTGTCGGAGCGCGCCGTCAGCGCTCAGTGAACCCGAACGACATCCGCAGGCTGCAATGTGGGACGTGCAGGGATGAGCGCAAACGGCGCCGTCTCGTCATCGCTGGTCCAGATGACCCGCGCATGCACACGGCGAAGTTTCGGTGTGCCCCCGGAGTGTTCCCGAATAACGACGTCAAATTTGAGGTGAACAAGTTCCGAGCGTTGCAATATGCCCGACAGCACGAGAAGCCGATGGTGCACATCCCTGCGCGCGACACTCCGACGCCAGATGCGCTGCGAGAGCGGCCAGATCTGCCGCGCCAAAAAATGGCCTGGCTGCGGCGCCACGACATGGAGAGCGGGGACCTGTATGGGTTTTTTGCCAATCGCGGAGAGAATGCCCGTGGCCCTCGCCGATCATATCGATCCCAGCGAGGACAAGTACCTGCTCCGCGGACGCGTGGGGACCGTGCACTCATGGGTGTGCGATGGCGAGGAAGGAGCGGGTCGCGTTTCCCGGGGAGGGGAGACCATTTTGCAGAAGACGCCGAAAGTGATATTTGTCCTTTTCGACGAGGGTGCCGATGATGCAGGGAACGCAATCCCATGCAAGTGGACCATTTCGGGGCTCCGAACACCGGGCCTGCACCCAGTGAGCCCGCAGAGAAAAGATTGATTCGTGGACTGAGGGCGGCCGCATCCGCGTCTGAAAGTGAAGCGGCGGCAGTTTCCCCTGGCCCCGGCGTTTGGAGTCACGGCCCACTCAGCACAAGGCCAGACTTTTAAGCAAGGTGTCATCGTGGATCTGAGGATTGGCGGGGGCACGTCTCCGTCGTCGAGTTATGCGGCTCTGACGCGCGTGCGTCGCCGCGAGGACATGTTGATATTTCGACCTTTCGACCGCGAGCCGCGCGCTCAGAAGGAGCGGAAGGGGCCCGGATTACTATTGCAGTCGTTGCGGGGGGATCCCATGGATCGGGATGCAATCGAGAAGGAGTTCATGCCTGCAGGGCGGTGCGCGCTGTGCTCGTCGGTGAAGCACAAGAACCAGCATGCGCTCGGGCAGTGGAGCCGGGGCGACGGACTCCGCGTGTGCAAGTTGTGCTTGGAACGCAAAAAGAGCATAGGCACGCCGCGGCAGCGCATGGAGCGCATTCTGTGGAGGGGCCAGGATGCATTCCACGCATCCCAGCACCGCAGCTCGAAGCTCACGTCACGGCGTTGCGTGGACTGTCCCGAGAGGCGAAAGTGTCACGTATGCGAGGAGCGGAAGTACGAGGATGCGTTCGTGGATTTGCAGTGGGAGAAGGCAGGGAACGCCCGATGTAAAGGAGAAATGTGCCTCGAGTGCGAGGGGCCGAAGAAGCACCTGAAGTGTTGCGCTGCGGCCGGGGAAAGTTGCTGAAATAATGTGCCAAAGCGGAGCAGTGCAATGACGAACCCACATGCAAGTCGTGCAAGAAGTTCTTGAGAAAGGAGGAAAAGGCGCGGGCCGAAGAAGCAAGGCGGGTGGTATGCACAAAATGTGGAGAGGGGAAGAGTAAGTCTGAATTTTCCGCTCATATGTTGGACGCCGCGCCCAAAGCGTCGATTGCGTGTACCAGGTGCGTCGGCGATGCGACCGCCCAACGGAACATGGCGGCGACCAAAGACGTGAAGACCTGCGTTGTGTGCGAGGTGGCGCAGCGGCGCGAATGCTTCTCGCAGTGGATGTGGGAGGGCGCGGCAGAGAAGCACCGCAAGTGCAAGCGCTGTGTCGACGCTGGGGCTGCACAGCGGGACACAGCTGCGATGAAGGACGCGAAGACCTGCGCTGTGTGCGAGGAGGCGCAGCGGCGGGAATGCTTTTTTTTCGCAGTGGATGTGGGAGGGCGTGGCAGATCAGCAGCGCAAGTGCAAGCGCTGCATCGATGGCGCGAAGCTGCAGCGCGGAAAGTGGAAATGCGTAGAATGTAAGGACGCATTCGGGAGGGAGCACTACAGCAACTGGTTGGCTGGACGAACGACACAGAAGGCGAATGGGAAGCAGAGATGCAACGAGTGCTGCGCTGGCCAAGAACGCAAACTGAATGCAATGGCGAAGAAGAGCCACGCGCCGGTAATGAAAATGCAGAAGACTGGATAGATGTCGCCTAAGTCGAGAGGAGACTCCCTGGGGTGGGTGTGGAGGGGGGCGGTGGACGTTTTTGGGCGAGGAATAGTGATGTGGGGTGTCCCCAGAAAACAAGCTCCCTGGGGTGGGGGCGTCGGGGCGAGGTGGGGGGCGGGGAGGGGGGCGTTGGTCATTCTTGGGCGAGCCATGGTGGGGGATGTCGGGGCCAGATGGGGGGCGTGGAGGAGGGCGTAGGTCGTTTTGGGCGAGAAATGGTGGGGTGGGGTGCCCCAAGAACAGAGACTCCCTGGGGTGGGGATGTCGGGGACAATTAGGGGGTGGGGAGGGGGGCGTAGGTCGCTTTTGGGCGAGAAATGGTGGGGTGGGGGGCCCCAGGAACATAGACTACCTGGGGTGGGGATGTCGGGGCCGGGTGGGGGGCAGGGAGGTGGGCGTAGGCCGTTTTTGGGCGAGAAATGGTGGGGTAGGGGGCCCCAAGAACAGAGGTTCCCAGGGGTTGGAGATGTCGGAGCCAGGTGGGGATCATGGAGGGGGGCATGGAGGGGGGCGTAGATTGTTTTTGAGCGAGAAATGGTGGGGTGGGGGATCCCAAGAACAGAGACTCCCAAGAGTGGGGGCGTCGGGGCCAGGTGGGGGGGGGGGGCATGGAGGGGGCATGGAGGGGGCGTAGGTCGTTGTTTGACCGAGAAATGCACAGGTTGGGGGCCCCAAGAACAGAAGCTCTCAGGGGTTGGGGGCGTCGGGGCCAGGATTGGGGCGCATGGTAATGGGGGCATGGAGGGGGGCGTAAGTCGTTTTTGGGTGAGAAATGGTGAGGTGGGTGGAGGGTCCCGAGAACAGATGTTCCCAGGGGTTGGGGATGTCGGGGCCAAGTGGGGGGGGCATGGAAGGGGGCATGGAAGGGGGGCGTAGGTCGTTTGTGGGCGAGAAATAATGGGGTGGAGGGCCCCGAGAACAGAGACTGCCAGAGGTGGGGGTGTCGGGGCCAGGTGGGGCGCATGGAGGGGAGGGTCCGAAGAACAGAGGCTCCCAGGGGTTGGGGACGTCGGGGCCAGGTGGGAGGCATGGAGGGGGGCATGGGGGGAGCGTAGGTCGTTTTTGGTGGAGAAATGGT